TTAGGTATTTATAAAACGTATGACAACATAGTCAAACGAAAATTAGATAAGAGCCAATTCAACCGCTGGTTAGACTTTAAAGTGATAATAATATGACGATATTTTACCCCTTGTTGGCTACTTTGTATATTATTGTTATGTCATATAAACTGTCAATTATAACGTGACAAGATCGCCAATCAAAACACTAACTTATACGACCATGGCACTGTGCCAAACCATAAACGCATTAACCAGTACGAGCAGTTCAGAGTCAACTCTCAGTCTTTAGTCGTTCTTCCCGCCTCGTACTGCCCTATCCATTGAATCCACAGCACAATCTCAGCTTCTACTGTATGAATCAAACATTACAAACATACACAGTTTTTATACAAACTAATCAGATCGCATCATATCATAAAATAGAAAATAACAACTATACAAGATCAAGCAAAATGTGTCTGAGTGTGAGATACTGAAATCGTCCCAACAAATATTTGTTGCATTATAAATCTATGCTAGTTATCAGTTTGACTGGAGAAGTAGATATTAGAAAAATGTTATTATTATATCAAGAAAATTTGGAAGCACTTTTTTTCTGTACTGCACTGTATCCCACAAACATTAAGTAATAATGTTATACGTTATGTTAAGCAAGTAAACTTTTGGACGAAAACATTAATATTTTAGAAATGTAAGTCCTTTAGTTATTAATCAATTGACTATTTATTCAGTAGTAAACATGAACTAAGGAGAATTCTCACTTGGATTAGCGTCTGAATCCTGCTTAGAGTTGATCAGCTTTAGTCTGGTTATCGTCCATCAAGAATATGTGAGTGATCCAATATTTCACTCTTTTTTACTTACGTGAGTTCATTTATTGACGCAACAACCAATCAATAGTAACTTTAACTTTAAAACTTTGCTAAAAATGCTAGTCACCACCCTTTGTAGGCATGTGAATTTCCAAAATCATGCACTTCATTTAAGTTTCACAGAGGTAGATTACATAAGATAGTTGGATGTTTTTATTGTGATCAAGAGAATTTTATCGAGTATAGCGTGACTTATCTATAATGGATGTTGACTGGTGATCTATCAAGTACACAAACTGACCTTAAAAATGTGTTTGACATGAGTATTTGTGACTGCGGTGCTGAACAACACCCTTCTGGGTTCAAAGTGACTGTGGGTAAATTTCGGTGAAGTTTGTCATCAAAGATGAAATATATTTCAGATATCTCTCTCTAATTGTTTCAAATGAATCCAACAGTTGTTTTGTAGAGATAGACTTATTAAATTTATTTTGTAAATAGTTTTTGATATCTTTTGCATTTATTTTGCCAATTCTCACAATCTGTACATTTATCATTAACCGATTGTACATGTTGTTTAAGTATATGACTTTGAACACTTACATCCTTCCGTTTTTTTTAATTCCTCATAGCATGACATTGTTAACTGCCCATAATTAAATACACTCTTATACATACGTCTTTCGTTCTATCATGTTTGTGGATATGAGAACTGAACGATTAATTAACTATCATCTATATTTATAAACTGTTATAACATTCGCATTACATTCAGTGTTCGGATTTACTACTGGAGCCATATCGTCTCATTGGAATTATTATTTACCTATAATTGTGGATTCTGTTACCAAATTCAACAGAACACATACCAACCTGCTGATTTAAGTAATGTCCCCAAACTTTTATTTGTGTTATTATCTTATGAGTTGTTAATTGCTACATTAACCTTTGGACGTAATAACTTGTTTGCTGTTTTTTTTGGTTATCATACTTTTTGGTCCACCAGAGTTTCGTTTCATGTTATTCTATCTTTGACGTGAAGTAGTTAATTCACTAAAGGCACTGTATTGCATACTATATATCGAGTTAATTCAAGTGTTGAACAGTATTGCGTTTTATCCCAGTATTTATGTATTCTCAGTGAAAGATATTTAAAGTTCAGATAATTTGTTACACCAGTGGTTGATCTGTAGATTGAATACTGTCATTTTGAATATTATATGTATCGAGTATTTTAATAGTCAACGAACTAATGGTATTAATTTTCCAGTTAATAGTTATTGGGTAATAAAATGTTTTTATCTGTGATGCCAGTCAGTGTGTGCTGTCTAATTTGAGATGTACGAAATGAATTGTCTTTTTGGATCTGATGTTTTGCGTGTATTTGAATGAAATACATTGGAAACATGAACTAGCTAATATAAATTGTATCCCATGCCCTGATTAAGAAATTATTATCAAGAAGATATTAAGCATGGGATTGTTTGTAATTATAGTAAGAGATATATAAACCGAGCATTCTAAACGGAAAATCTATGAAAATTTCATTAATTTTTGTAACAATTAAATGTGAACTACTCAAAATATGTTTATCTTCCCATAAGCAGGAAGCGATATGTTTATAAATCTCTAGACAATCGCTACACAGTATCCCCAACCTAGTTAGAACTAGGTCCATTAGGTTTGAATGAAATTACAGCGAATGATTGTTGTTATTCCCAAAGATAGCAAACATATCAGACTGTCGAAACACGACGTCCAGTGAACTTATATTTACTGTTCCCCCTTTTGTAACAATATATTTGAACGGTAGATTGTTTTAAATTCTCCAACAAGTCGGAATTTATGCAGAAAGACAATATGATTTGTTTTAATAAATATTGAAGTCCATTGTTAACCAAGTATTTCTAGAGTGTATCCAAACCAGTAGAATTCATCTCTCAACTTCAATAACAGAGTTAATACTTGATGATTAATTAAAGCATGATACTTTTATACACAGCCAAAATAAGTGTGTGAACAGATGAACTGTAACTGATCGATAATCCAATTCAAATTTCACCAGCCAGGTATCTAAAACTGGTATGATTAAAACAAGACACACATGAATAAATACGATGTTCACAGACATACATGCCATATGTGAAGGGAGGAGCAGGAGCGAGGGTAACACAGACGATGAATTCTTTACATACAACAGCTACCAAATAAACTGCATTGAGAAAAGTTCTTACAATGTTTATCTTTACAAGACAAAAGTCTTTCTTACGGGTTACCAAACGATAGGTAGTGAGAAATAACAAGAGTATGAGTTTGGTGTTTGTATTAGAAAATTCCTGCTAGCCCTCAGAGTTATTGCAGTATCGATTTTTAGGCGTAACAATTAGCCAATAACATAACAGTGTGAAATATTTTAAATTTATATTGATTTTGAATAGATCAGTAGTACAACACATTAAGTACTTTATTTACTCGATCTATTGCTTTATAATAACTACACAGCTATTAGTAGTAGCGTAGGCGGTGACCAGTCTAATTAACGAACTGGAAAATATTTCTTAGAAGAACAAAATGGAAAATAATGAAACTGTTGCACCAGTAGTAGGTAATGATGATTTTTTCCAGAAAGTGTTTTATGAATAGGGAAACATAACTTCTGGAAACACCGTTAGCATAAATTGGATGATCAGTGTCAACTTGGTTAGAAATAATAAATTGTGAGAAACACCAAACGATGATAGGGTACACCAATCTGCATGGCTCCTTTTTCCTGATGTTCTATCAAAATCAATAAAGGTTTTTGTGCGAACAATAGGTATTTATAACGATTTCTTCCTGTTGTACAGCATCCTTTGCTTCTTAGCTTATTATTACGACTTGAAATTACAGCTGTTAATATTTCGTAAACGATGTCCCTCACTTACAACCCACCGATCACAACGTACTGTGGTGAAAGGAATATTACTCAATTACTCAGAAATTTTGAAAAAGTCGGTAACCGCGTAGACATTCGGTCGTTAGGTTGTAGGTTAAACCAATTAAATGAAGAGAGTTATATTTCTTGCCACTCTAGCAGTACAATATGAGGCCAAATTTAATTAATTACCCCTATTACCCTTCGTAGAACAAAGGCCACTGACCAAGATGGATCTAGCTAATCGTGAACCATAAATTATAAATTAAGCAACTAATCAATAAGATACAGCTTCACTTGGACTGTCACAGCATGTTCATTGAGTATTTTCTCTATTAACTCTAGTATTAGCAGGTTAAGGATGTAAAAGCTCAAGCCAAACTGGCAAATAGACGTACTGAACTAAGAAGATATGGAAAGGTACATTGCTTCCGGTTGATTATTAACTACCGTCTGCTAGTCAATACGACTAGCAAGCAACCCGAATAATAAAAAGTCAAATGTTTATAACAACTAGAATTATCATGCTGAAAAAATCAATGTTATCATTATAACGGGGAATTAAAACTATTAACTCACACAGTAAACCCATTAAAAGCATTGCAAGGACAAAAGAGAACATGAAAGTGAAGTTGTAGTGAACAAGAACACGAGTGGGGATAATCAAATGTAGCTGACACGAAATCACAGAGTATCTCAATAAAATCTGAGAACCATATAGTAAATCGTTAATTTGCAAAATATCAATCCATCATATCAAACTTGATTGTTCCTGTTGCAAACACCAATCTATTGTCTCAGATTTTATTGTTCATGCATTTTCATACCAATCGCGTACCGTTCCCGTTCTTTCCTCATCGAACTTCTACTGAAATACATTCTATGCCTGACCACAGTTATATACTACTTGTGTGGACATAAGTAGCCCACACCACAAAGTCATAACTTAAATGACAACAAACGTTATATAATATAGCTCACAAAATTAATTTATAATCCACCTTGCAATAATCTGGTTGAAAAGTCACTCATGTTTACCGCCGTATGAACGAATCAGTTAGATACAATGATAATTTATCCGATGAACTTAAAAATCAACCGGTATACTAACTTAAAGTAAACTTTGTTTTCTTGAGATCAAAAACAACAAACTGAAATCACAAGTGGAAATTATCTCGACCAAATTTTGTAAGAAATAAACCCTTTTGAGTCTTAAAACCCAATAAGTTACATTCAAAGCATAAAAATTGTTTTCAAGTATACGGTAATAAAACCAATTATCACGATGAGTTACTTAAAAAAAAACTTTTATTATTTTTGTTTGTACAATTATAGATTTCGTTTATCATTCGTTATCACAAGCAAACACATTAGTAAATGATAATTCAAAAACAGAGTTTTGTAGACCAATCAATGATACATAATAATTCCTTATAGAGATAATGATTTTCTCAAACTGATAATGATAATAATTTATACAAAATATGAAAATAGAAAATGACTACATTGTAAAAAAAAAACAAAATTTCTAGAAAAGAAAAATAGACCAAGCAAACGAAACAATGAACGATAGAAAAGTATGAAAAAAAAACAATAGCTGTCTAATATTGGTAGAAAAGAAAACAGTGATATGACGACATTTCTTCTTTTTGGAAAACAATAACAATAATAATAATAATAACTGGCTTTTTAGGAATTTATACTAGTGCATATTTGATGTGATTGTGAGCAAATGCTAGGTTGTTCTTGTTTTTGAGAAACCAGAAGGCATAATTTTTCTTGAGAATCACTTTCATCTTGTTTGACAGCAATTTCAGGAGTATTATTATTATTATTGGTGTTTTGACATGATATTTGCATCTGTTCACCATTTGTATTGTCGTGTTTATTGATTTGATCTAGATAATCTAAACATTCAGCTGAACTTAGTTTCACAGTAAGATTTGTACGTGGATCACAACCAGGATGTGTTAGTTCGATATGTCGAACAAGATGATCTTTACGATAATAAGATTTATCGCATATCTTACATACAAAAGGTTTGAAACCGACATGACGAAGAGAATGACGCTGAAGATTGGATCGTTGAGTAAATTGTGCACCGCATATAGTACACTTAAATGCTTTATGCACTGCAAAGGTATGTTCACATAGTAAAGTTAATGATGTAAATGGTTTTCGACACTGATTACACATAAATGACTTGGCATATCGACGATTAAGGACACTTGAATCGTCTGTTGAGTTTACGGATTCTCTGGTGGAATTCTTAGAAAGTGAATTAGATGACGTTGTATGTTTTGATTGAGGCGAAATAACTGTTTGTAAATTACAACTATTAACAGGACGGGGAATAGGCTGTTTATCAGTGCAAATCCGAGGTAAAATAGGGCGATGGACAGTTGATAGTACTGTTACAGGTAGGGAGAAAACACTCACATGAGGAAGAAGTGTAACTGCTGAGACAGGTAAAAATAAACCATTTGTTGGCCCACTTTTCATCGGCGTTACAATTTCAGTAACTGCTTTCGAGATCTGTTGAGCTGGGACGGAAGTTGGTGATGAAGCAGTTGTAGTAGGTAAAGGTTCGATAGGATCAGAAACAACAGAACTTTGAGGTATTTTACATGGTCGACTTAGCTTCCGTTTACGTCGTGAGATCGAAAAGCCATACTTCTTTATAACGTCATCAGCTTGTGTTTTATTCGGTGAAATCGACTCTGTAGATGTATCCATAATTCCTGAATCTGATAAATCTTGATTAGGACTGTCGTTTTCAAAAGAATGATCATTTGTTTTCTCATAAGTTTGGTTAACAAGCAAACATTTCATCTTTTCTTGATCAGCTTGATAAACCACAAGAGCTTGTAGTTTTAGTGATTTTGAAAATGGGGGGAGGACACGTTCAATTAGAAGTCTTGTAAGCTTTTTTTCTTCAGCAGTAGGTTCGTGTTTATGAACACAAGTTGGTGTGTCTGTTTGGGTTACTGAAAGAGACGAGCCTTCATCTGATGAATCCATTTTGTAACTGACTGAAGTTTCCATCTATAAGTAATAAATTAGATGTTTTGCAAATAGTTAGTGAAGATATTATTCATGTAAAAATAGAAGTTTGAGTGAACGTTATGAAATGTGTATGTGTACTTTTTCGTATCCATAAATCTCAGTAGGAGAAAATTAATAAACATAGAAGCATAAGACCTTATTTAACTACAAAAAATAAATACTACTCTAGTTCACAAGCTATCTTAAATGTCCACTCAGTCGTTTCCAGAAAACGTTTAAGCGTCCACTGAAGGTGTAATGAAGTCGTCCTCAATCACGTCAGTTAAGAGACTCTTCAAATCCAGAGCGTATACGTTCATGAAAGTTTTCTAAATACGAAAATCGGAGATCAACTAGGATTGGTAGGTTACATGAAAGAACTGATGATGAATAAAAGTGTTTGCCTTCACAACTTTTTCCATTGAATTTTTTTTAGAAAGGCAGTGTAAAACATACGGGTGCTCAAATGTATTATTTTTACAGTTTTGCGTTTTTTGGTTGCTAATTTTCAAGACTGAATCTTGATCAAACTGTATTGACATATGTACGCTCAGGGGGTGGCCCACAACCGCTCATAGTTGTTTTTACAATATATATGGGTCGCGTCTAAGAGTAAAATCCTGGACGCGCACTTCATTCACTGTAGGGCCCATCAACTCAACGTACCACTATTCCAATGTTGATGCTTGGACTGGGACTTGAACACAGTACACTTCCATATCCATTACCATTACATTTTTCGGCAGGCTAATGATGCTAGATAGCCAGTAACTTTTCTGACAGGTATGAGGTTGTTATTCGTAAAGATTTGTTTTCCCGCTGTTGACACTAAGGGATAGACCTTGGTCGATATCTGCAAACTCAAATCACTTCTTGGTCGAAAATATTAGAAAATTACAAATAAGGCAAAAAGCTAGCAGTAATATATGGGGTTGGTGTTTTAAATCACGAGTTTGCCTATTTTCAGCAAAATATCCATAGCATTCTTGCTCTCATCTTACAATACACTTACAGGAATGATCCATTTGCAAATGGGTCTAGAGATTTGCTTTTTTACTTTGAGTAATTGAGACATAGCAAATAATATGGAACAAATTTGTAAATGATTGTTTATCGAAATATTATTGAGTAGATTAAAATCATCGACCGTTATTTGTCTTGCATTCTAGGAACTTTATTCATTATGAGTAAGTAGAAAGGTATATTATATAGTAGCACAACTTTTATTGAAAGTAAAATGGTCAAGTTCATTGGTTCTCGAAACACGCCACATGAACACATTATATTTTAATCGTTATGTCATGACACAAACAAATTGTTAGGTACTCAATAATGAATACATACCTTAGAAGTTAATGTTCTTTTTATAGAAAAGTATGGTTGGAAAAATTGCAATCAACCACTACGTATTTGAGTATTGTGAGTTATCAACTACCTAAGAAAGATCAATCCGAATAAATAAAACAATGAGCCCAGAGAGATTACTTCAAAACTTCTTTTCACTGATCCCTTGTTTTTAATGAGGGCTAGGGAAGTTGAATTGATATAAACATATTAGCGTACTGTTAAGGTAGTTGATATAAATTATCTATACCTCCAGAGTGAATAATCAATATGTATTGGGACGAAGTTTGACTTTTTTACCGGTTATATTTCAAAAACTGAATTCATGTACCACAGCATAACCAATTTTCGACACAAAGACATTTCTGAAGTGAGAGTGAATAGAATAAAACGAAGGAACTATCTTCCCATCATAAAATATAGGATTCCATCCCATAGTTGGAACGTAGTGTGACTGAAATATTTCGATACATACAGAAAACTCAATATCAAATAATGAATCTATCTTCAGACTTTATTACAACTGTCTAGATAGGTCAGAAAACTAAGACTTGTGGAAAATGTCATCTTTTAGGGGAAGTCTAGGTGTCGTCCAGTAACAGAGGTTTGGTATATAGAAATATCATTCTAAGGATTACTCTCATAAACTCAATAACCATTAATGTTAACAATGTTTGTATTCACAATATAAAATGTTAAGGGTTTCCATTGTGAAATTGAGAACATATATAAGCGAAAAATATTTCCAATTTGATAGCCACCAGGCTTTACTACAATAAACATGAATACCTATATAGGTATGTGAAAACACTAAACTAATCAAGGTAATTAATAAACCAATTACCATAATGAAATAGATGTGTATTGGAGTCAAGCCTGATGACGACTTGACTGAAAACAATATCGTTCACTCATGTGTTGTTTTAATAATAAAGTACCACTTGGGAAGAACGATATTTTATAATTTCTGATGATTTCCGTTGATTGACATGATGAAGGACAGATACTCATGAAAAAGTCAAAACTGAAAGCAATTCACCACTCCGAGCTTATGTTGTCCCTTAATTTTACAGTTTGTATCGCGAAACTATGCGTGATTCGGATGTAACAAAAGGATAACGTCGAACACACGCGACATTTAACTGGTTAGTAATTGTTTCTTGCTAAACAGTACAAGTTACATGTAATCCGTTATTATTGATTGCTAGTCATACTAGGACTAAAAATAACCTAGTGAGTTCAACAAAAAGTGAAGAATAAATGGAAGCATATTCGTTGAATAAAACATGTTTCATACATAATGATGTTTTATATTGTCAAACGAAACTTACTGGATACTCAATTGAAACCGTCCAAATCTTGACGATGTTTAGGGGGCGAGAATAAAAAGGAGCGATATCCACTAATCGATAATCAACTTTGTAACGTGAAGTAGCCAGCTGTTTCTAAAGTAGGACCAAGCACAAACTATGCATTGTTTATGCCAGGGATACAAATACATTTGATCGATACACGCTACAACTCTTAAGGCTGTGCCTACGCAGGGCTTATATTGATTATTCCATTTTTCTAAAAAGACACAATGAGATTGGGCGCATGCATTTTGTTATGTCCAATCACAAAAAAGTTAAAGCAAGCCTAGCCCTGAGGTCAATTATTTACTGTGAGCTTATTGGTGGGATGGTCAGGCGGGATGTTATGCTTCGCCAATCACAACATTCGGCTGTCTGTGCTTAGTTATGTGGTTTTTTAATCACATATTCTGTGTTACTACACATCTTATACTTGGTCCATTTTAGTTTGGGTTCGGTTTTCCTCTTATCTCTGATTTGTTGTTGGTTTCAATTTCAGATTATTACGCAACCCTACAAATTCACTGTGAACAGCAAATCGCACTTATTCTCGCTTGGTTTCTATTTCTGTTTTATGACTATTAGTTAATCACCAGCCTTTAATCTCTACCTTAAAGGACTCATTCCGTGCTCAGTTAAAATCCCTCTAATAACCACTTCACTATATTGTCAAGTGACTGCACAAGGGAGTAGGGATCGTTACATTTCAACACAGTGATCTGGTGCTGTGCTTGTTGTGAGATCTAAAGGTCCTGAGTTCAATCTCATAATGGAATGATGAATTCTTACTGCCGAAGCACCCCAAACTTGAACAAACAACAACCAATTGGTACCTGGTTTGGAGTAGTTCTCTACCTAGTTCTAGTTCTTATCGGAAACGAACTTCGAAAAACCTGAATTAACTCACTTTTTAACTATACGTGCTCATATCTGCTGATTAATTCTGGAACGCAAGCAAAAGTTGTAACTCTCATCAAAACTAACAATAGTAATAATAATAAAAACATATTCTGAAAACGACAATTACAGAACTTATGCCAGTCAACAGGTATGATCAGTTTGATATAGATATTGATATTAAATGTAGAGGACATAAGGGATATTAGGTTGTTTGAAGTGTTCTATTTCAAAAATTGTTTAGGCAGTACATTTTTTACACGTATTAACGCAATGAAAAGCGTCAGACGAGAACTTTCAATTCTTTCTAAAGTGGATATCCTGTTGATGTATGAATGGTGTCCTTGTGGTATTTTCCTGTTCCATAACGAATTGATTACACAAATCTACAACTATAGAAAATAAAGCGGAAGCATATAGTACAGGACAACAAAAACAATAATTATTACCATAGGTCGGTCAGTGAAATCGAGGGTCAATATTTAAGTCTGAGGTTATTACTCAGACCAAACACTGGAAAGGAAACTTGCCAATCAAATTCTCAGTACTCTTCTGTTAGCGATGAATTTCTGGGAGAGCAAAAGTCCCGAGTTTGTGTCTGTGAGGCTTATTCGCGCCACCGGTTGCTAGGGCGCTCTTCTGCTCAGCCTTGTTGACCAGCTGCTTTCGCGGGGCTTTACCTCCGGTTGATTCGCGTGTAGTTTACTTGATTCCTACCAATTCGAAACACCGGGAGACGATGATGTGTTTTAGCGTGGATAACAGAAGACAAGATACCATCATATCTTCCCATCAATTAGGGATACAAATAACAAAAACGAGAGCAGTGAATCTATTTGGTTACATCTATGTACAGTAAACTAGGAATATTAGTATGCATTAACAATATGAACTAGATAACTCAATAGAGATGACATACTACTTATGGTTCGCTTATTTACATAACATTCTTTGGGAAATACTAAAATGAGTGTTGAGTTGATTTTCTTAAAAATCATATACTCATTTTCCTGGGATTAGTAGTCACGAGTCTCATGAATTCGCCAATTTTTTGTAAAGTTCCCATTGTGATGGTTATATTTTGGGCCTAAGATATTCCCCACTGATTCAAACATTTTCATTTGGAAATGAAATACAACTTAGATAGCATATACAAAATTTCATGTGTAAAGTGCAAGAATGAAATGCTAAAATTAGTGCTTCAAACATGAGAAGAAGCACAGTTTCATCCGAATTGAATATACCACGAATATTTATTAACTAATAAAAATCAAACCAGCTTTTGACTTCATTTATTTTCGAAGCACTCAATTTATGAACGCTTTGTTTGATAAAAACTACTGAATTTGACAGTCATTATTCGTGAATAGTTCTTAAATTGATATGGAGATGTATCTATCAGGACTACATACATGAATGGTTTGGATTCTAATATTTACTAAGGAAACGTCAGTATTCGTTAGCATAGTATTGTTTGATGAATTGTCAAATCATGAAGTCAATCTCTTAAGGTATAATTAATATGATGCTTAACATTTTCTTACTAACATCCCATTGAATGAACACACTCACTAACTACTTGCTTTGACAGCTTCACTAAATGGTTGATAGCCATTTTACTTAAGTAGGCTATAAAAATTGCTAAATACTTCACTAAACACCAGATATCCAATTTTGGCGTCCCATGAACCATCACTTCGGACCAAAGTTTTTAGTTAGATATTCAATTATTTCGACAGCTCACAGAAACTCTAGGAGCTAAAAGAATATGAAATTCAAACTATCTTCCTGTTATAAATTGAGTGGTAGAGATATTTAACCTTTAGCTCAAAACCAGTTGGAAGTTTACTAGGAGTGATAACAAGTGCACTGACAAACTTTCGCTAAAGTTAGTTTGAATTCACTCAACACCAAAATAGCACATCAATCGTTGTGCAGCTGAATTGGTGTACGGAACGACATCATGTTTTCCGAGCTAACATTTTGGTCATTCAAACGCTGATACCGTAGACATATAAAACAACTTGCAACCGGTTGGCGTACAATGTCGTATTTCACAAATCTTCGTATATGAAATCTTGGTTTCATACTGTTTGACGATAGGTGGGCTAATAGTGCTTGAATCTTTAGGGGATACAGTTTTTTCTGAGAAATACTTCTTGCATGTTAGAAGTAGTAGAGAGATTCCTTCTAGAGGCGATTGTTGTGACTTGATGTTCGGCTAGTTATCACGTGATTTATCCACCAATCAAAATACGACTTATACAATCTTAGCACTGTGCCAAACCAATGACGTTCGACCGGTACGAGCAGCCAAGCGTCCATATTGGTCCTATGTTCGCCTAGCCCGTCCACTTGAGTCCAGAACACCAATACCGGCTTCCACTATGCGAATCGAATCGAATCATATATTCCAAACTTACTGGGTTTATATATCAAACAAACAGACCACAACGCACCATAAAATAGGAAATAACATTTGTACACAATAAAGCTAAAAAGTGGCTGTGAACGTGGGAGATAGTAGTTAATAAACTGAACATAATTTAGGGACAGTCGTATAATAATAAATTACGGGTCAAAATGAAGCTTATAATAAGAGGAATATAAATATACATAATCTAATTATTGAATAATTATACAAAAAGAATATTTATAGAATATTAGTCCTCGGAAGTTACCCGTAATTTAATCTTCACTAGGATATAACAGCGATGATCTTAAAGATTTTGCATTGTCTTATTTACCGATTCCATACATATATTAATCAATTCCAATAATTTGGATTACGTATTAATTAATACTTGCGAGATTCTGGTTTTCATTTTGAAGAATTCCTAATGTTTCTAAGACCACACTAATATCTCTTACTATGAAACTAATATCGCATTGCAGCGAAGCACTCTTTCTTTTCTTCTGCCCCACAGATCTTTTATTTCCTCGATGAATTAAATGGAATTGTTGCTTCCTCATTAATTCTTTCGATAACTTGGTTGATTGCTTATCTGATGGTGAAATGGTTATAACACCATTTACAGAAACATTACCAAAGAGTTTACAGGTTCGTGTCGACATCTTTTTTTTAAACATATCACGAAGTTGTCTTCCACTTACAATTTATTGACTGTCAACATCAACCGATGTCAATCCAAAAATGTACAGCATAATGTCGAATAAAACGAATATCGATTTAACTTTAATTCAATGTTTCTTACTATTTGAAATGGTTGAAAATATTAAGAACAAATATAAGATGGAATGATTCGGTTTTAGCGCCATAGACTAAAAAAATCTTGTCTGTAACTGCGATTAGTTTTTATTTTATTCAATCTAAATTACCCATGTAACTTTTACCCAATCTATAGTTTATTTAAAACCATCAACTTATTTCTGAACCATTAATAATAATAGATTTATCAAGTACAGGTTTAGTTACTTGATCTTGAGCTATGCTGTTTGTGTAAAGGCTGTTCTATTACCTCAGGTCCATGTCAAATAAGCTGTTTAGAGGTTGAACCTTCTACCAAATAGTTGAGAGCCAAATGCTTTAACCAGTAGTAAATATTTCAGTTATAGATTTATCACTACTGAGTCATTTTAAAATTTATTAAACAGCTTTACTGTAACTATACTGAATGGAATAAAAACTTTATAGTTTTCATGTACATTCGAGTAATGCTAATATTATATTTTTGAATTAAGGCTAAAAAGTTTAGTCTGACTAAGAAACAGCTGATATGGAAAATAATGGATTTCTATAGCTTCTATGTAAGCTATGTGCAATCAAGGTCGAATTATATCATTAACTAAATAGCCTTATCTAGGTGCTACCTAAAGATAGCTAATTTCTAGTCTGAAAGTGTTAGGTTTTGAAAGAGAGAGAGAGATCACGGGTTCACGTAGTTTGCGAACGAGAACGAGATTCAGTGACCAACGACCAGTAAGCTATCTATTGAGGCGTCCCAGCCCCGCTATCTAGAGTGAGAAGACCAAGCTTAGAATGAAAGTATATTCTGTAACAACCAGAAAACCAACAAACTTTTTTTACAAAGACAATTTTAAAACGTATATATACAAATATATATACATCGATATTGTCATGGAGCTTTTAAACATTTAATCGATAGTTCGTCAATTGACTGCCATTGAAGTATTTAAAGATTTAATCGATAAATTCGTCAATCAACTATGTGCGTGGGTGGTAAGAAATGCCTACGTATACATGTGCATACAAGCTCCACAAGATAAATTACA